TCATCATCATCAACATCATCATTTTGTCTTGATGGGGGTGGAATCAGTCGAACTTCGATCGGCGTGTCTCACAATGTTAAATCATGTTAAATCCACGTATGATGTTTCATGCCTTAAAATCCATGACAGACCAGGCAAAAAACACTATGGCCATGGCCCAGGACCACAACTACACCGCCCACAGTCATCGTGGCAAAGCCAAAACCTCCAGGCTTTGAACGAAGCCTGTTTTTGCTGCCCAAAGCTGAGCCCATGCTGATGCTGGTGCCTTTGGCTGGTTATTCCATCGGATGGCCATGCTGATACTGGTCAATTGGGCCTGGAAGGTTGACCCTGACCGGTCAGCTGGGACGCATGAAGCCCAAGTACACGAGGGGCAACATACCAATCCCAATTCCGGTCAACTCTTTAACGCAGCGGTCTTCACATGGTAACGGTATACTTGGTATACTGGTGTTTGCTGTGCCCAAACCACCAATCTGCCATTGATTCCGTTGATTGACCCATCCCCCAATGATACATGGCAGGGTTGCAGCTGTTTTCCCCCTTGGCTAAAAACGGTGTGCATTCCGGCTAGGTGCAGTGTCCCTCACAGCTTTGAATGCCACGCCGATCTCGAGCCAGGCAACGATCCCTGCGGCCTCTAAGACGGGGAACAAGGAGCCTGCCATCCTCAGTGGAATTTCGGATGCTGCTGCCCAAGATTTTGTGACCAGTGACTTGCCCAATGAAATAACCTAGGCAGGTGCAAACTGAACATGATTCGTTTTTTTGATGGTGGAAGCACAAAAAACGGAACAATGACTGTGTCCATCATGAATGGCTAGCAACGAAATGGGCGCCCGAATTTCCAAAGGGCACGATGGCCAAACGTATCATACTTTGTATCGAACCACAGCTGATTCCCAATCTATCCGAACTGTCCATCAAACTGGCGCAACTTGCAGGTTTCCAACCTGAGACCAGCTTCATGGTTGGCGCAGCTGAACCAATTCCTGGTCTCAACACTGTCCAATTGGAGGCGGCAAGTCCATGTTCAGCATCAGTGGTACTGGCGAAGCGCTTTTGGCCGGAGACTTCCAAGGTGGTGGTGGCGAAATGTGACGACTATGCAGCGGCTCGGCATGGATGGACTTGTTCAGCAGGTCGCTAAAAAACGGCAGGACGCTGGGCAAGTTGCCAGCCACGGTCTTTTGCAGCAGGTTCCCAAGCACCCTTCAGTCGTCGAAAAACAAGTGCTCACAGCAGGTCGTTGCCTTTTTCCAAAAGAACCACTGCAGTGTGTTGTTCCAACAGTAATTCACATCGCTTCGCGGTCGAAGCCGCCCGCACAGGGTAAAGGAAAAACAGACACACACACACATATTATATATACAGACATAGACATCCATCCATGCATATTAACATACATACATGCAAACATACATCCAGACATACATGGGAAAAGTGTGTCATTAGCACCCTACCGGCTCGGCAGCAACCTGCGCTCGCGGAGCCG